ACTTGACTAGCCTATTGGTCCCAAGCAAATCGATTGACGTACCCCATTCTAGTCGAAATTCTAGTACTACACTATGTTTGTTTTGATTCGCTATGAAAGTTTGACAGATAACATCAGGGGTGTGTGGATTCATGCAGAACATGCAGGGGTGAGTGAAATAGCTTGGGACTGCTTGGGACCGTTGTTCTGGTACTGAGTGAGCCAAAAATAATAATAATTTTCTTCGGGACCCAGTGGTCTTAAGGCCCAAACGCAATGTGGACGGAAGCGGAACGGAAACGGAAAGTTTGACAGTTGTCACAAATGACATCATGATGCCTAACCGAAGTCGACTTGATTCTAACCTTTCTAACTAGTTTTCAATCCGACAAGTAGGCTTACTCAGATCGGGCTTTTCCGCTGCCGCTGCCGTTCCGCTTCCGCTGTCATTGCGTTTGGGCCTTTAGAGTTACCTCTATGATACTATAATGATAATTTTTATTTATAAGAAGCAAGAAGAGATGGTAATGTTTGTGTATATTCTATATATATAAAAAAGCATGTCTGTCTGTCTGTCTGTCTGTCTGACCCTTATAGACTCGGAAACTACTGAACCGATCGGCGTGAAAATTTGTTTGCAGGGGTTTTTGAGGCAGGGAAAGGTTCTTATGATGGTTCGAGACCCCTTCCCGCTCTTTAAAGGGGGGCTTCCAAACAGAAATTTCTGCATAACTCGAGAACTAATCAAGCAAATGGAACCAAATTTGGCATGTGGAGGCCATAGGGGGTAGCCCCTTAGAAAAGAGGGGGGGGGGGCTACGTACAATATAGCATTTTTTTTAATTGGCGCATAAACTCAAGCAAATGTTGAATCCCGAGCAAGGCCGGACACACTCAGATATTGACATATAACATTTGTCAATTTTGCTTTCACAAGGTCACAACTAGCTATTTTATGATCGCTGATTGCTCGCTCATCGCGTTCCTCATCGTTACAGCTAATCGCTATTGTGACCTTATGAAAGCAGTAAGTGTGGTAAAGTGTGTGTATGACACATAAAAATTGACAGGTTTTATGTGTCATACACACACTTTACCTTCTCTTCTTGCATCTTGTAAATAAGAATTATCATTAAAATATCTCATAGCTTCATAAATCCGAAAAATACAAGGGGTGAGACTGCTGTACTCTGAGCTGCTTTTTTGCAGCGAGTAACTCAATGTACCTCAAAATTCAATCGACGTTCATCGATTTTTTTCTCTCTGTCTACTCCTTTTACTCTCTTTGAAAAGATTTATCTCATATTAGACGTCAGTTTTGTTTGTAAACATAGTAAGATTGCTCAGATCTGCTATTTAAACGATGTAAATTCCAGTACCACTTGAATCAAAAGAAATTTGTCCGGAAAACGGCTCAAACTATGCTGTAAATGATTCCAAAGGGGCCTCCGTCACCAGCTGCTGTAACTGTTTTGGAAGTGATTTTTGTTCGTACTCTTCCGTCTCGAAAAGTTGGATGTGAATTAACTGAAGGTAGGTGGAAACAGGCTATTTGTTCTCATAAAATAACCAGAGGAATCGTTTTCAGATGTCCACCGAGGAGAACGTGAAATCACCGGTATAGAAGAGGTCAGAGTATCCAGTGTAGCCGCCATTGCCGAAGCCGGTGTGTACGATCCTCGATCGTCGTCCGGATTTCAATCCCATCATTGATCAACTGGACGAAATCGAATCCTGCATATGGTTCAGAAAGAGTGAAAGGAAAGGGTCCTTGGCGATCTGGCGATCATCGTTATGGACTTTGCTGACGAGAAACTGAAGAAAGAAACATGCTCCGCATATAATACATAATAGAAAAAAAATACATCATTAAACTAACAAAATAAAATATGATTTTTCTTTCTGAAAGAAATATACACGCAGAAATATACACTAATAGAATTCCACACGTTTTTATTGACGAATTTCCATGTAAAATTCCACATGATTTTCATGTAACCACACATAAACAGAATCCACCCAGAAGCACACATGAAATTTATGAGTCAAATGAATGATATGTGTAGTTACACATTATGTATACACATATTAAGTATGTGTCCGACACATAGATATCATTTGTTGATCACATTGCAAAAATTCATGTGTGGGACACATAAAAACAATCTTTGAAATTTTATCAGTGTAGACTTCCGTCAACGGCCGCACAAAAATCTTGGTGGTGTATCGAACCATATCACGATTATCTAGAAGGCACATCAGTAGCACCAGAAGTGAGATGGTTCCCGCTGACAGCAGAACGTTGCCGAAGTAATCCACACTGTAACTGGTGAGTACCCATTAATGGGTGAAAAAGTACCCATTTTGTGGTAGTGTATGGAGCTGTCAAAAAATGCGTAAATGTAAATTTCAAATAATGGGTACTTTTTCACCCATTTCCGAAACCTGTTCAGGGATCAAAAATGAGTACATTTTTACCCTATATTGGGTGAAAAATATCTTTGTTGCTCGGTAACGTTGCTGGTATACTTGGTGTGCCTTGTCGAGTGCCTTTGTTCCGTTTTAGTAAAAAAGTGATAAATATGTGAAAATCTTCCTTGGAGGAGTCTACAGACTTCGAAGTAGAACTAGCGGCTCCGATAATTCGATGTATCTCGGTAATAAATCCATTACACTAGATTTTGCTTTTGTTAAAAAGACGTTCATTTCTTTTTGCAGGATGCTGAAACACCTTTACAAGAACAATTAATGAAGTATGTTGCCTGGAATGTCGATGCTAACGTTGATGTGGCGCCCCATCTGATTTTCAACGGCAACAATAACTTCATTTACGTTGACGCTCAACTCATCCACGGTGGAATTGACTCCATCCGCCCGCTGGACACTCTATTTAAAGTGTTCACTGTTTTCAACATTCGTCCGCCAGCAGAAGTGCAGAAAATTATTGATTTCATCGAGATCATGGGCCTTATTAGGGTGTCACTACACGGTGATAAGGAAGTGATACTCATAATAAGAGCCGTGATTGCCGTACAAATCAAATGGTAATCACTTCACCGTGACGACAAGTGACAAGTTTTCACCGTGAAGTGACATCCGTAATAAGCCCCCATATGTTATGGAATCACAATGACCAGCACCCGTCAGATAGTCAATCGTTTGGTTTCATCGTTGTTTTCATAAATTATTGCAATGATGTTCAATAAAAACCAAGTTCAGTAATCTGTAGTTTCTATTTTATTGATTGATTTTAAACTTATTGCTAATTCTCAAATTTCAGATTAAGTCCCATCAATATATTTAAAAAAGGGGTACTTTTTACCCAGTTACGGAAAACAATGCATTCTGGAAATGGGTAAAAAGTACCCCATGATTTGACGTATAAGCTCTTTACCCATTAGTGGGTAAAGACGTTTTACCTATTTTATGAGTTTACCTACTTTACCGCGAAATGGGCACTTTTTCACCCATTAATGGGTACTTTCCAGTTACAGTGAGAGCTCAGATCGCAGTTTTATCCAGTGGCAGGTTGTTCATCAATGGTAACGGGATCGCTTCTACCAGTATCAGATGACGTACGGGGTACACAAATTTTTTCGAATCGGAAGTATTTGGTCCGGCGGATTTAGTTTTTCTATCACTTCAAGCCGGATGTTTCCTTTTATTTGTTGTTATGTTTGACAGCAGCTTTTTGGCTTCGCACCTCCAAATGTTGCTTTGATGCGAAAAGTGAGAAAGCAAATGACAGTGATTTTGCTCACTGCGCAATGTGAGTTACTCGAGGTGCCTCAAAAGCAACTCTAAAATTGTTCATGATTAAGAGCTGTCTTACCCCTTGGAAAAATAGCATGTTAGCTGTAATAAGCATTTGCAAGCTTGTTTGTAGCAATCAAAACCGGAATAAAATACCTCGTAAAATACATTTTTTATCATTACATCCTTATTTCATACATCAGCTTGAATTACATTCACGGATAGAAATCTCCTTATACCTTTTGGCAAATTTCCATTGCTGATTATTCATAAAATGTATAAGTCAACTAATAAGCAGACGCTTTGCAAAAAGTAAATAAAGATCATGTGTCAAATGAAATGTATAAGCGGTCATACATAGCTTTTATGCATTCTAATAGGACTTATGTGGTTTGTCTTATGGAATGTATAAGGCTGATGCTTTGGCAAAAATGTATAAGTGAAACACATGAATTAAATAATTGATTTTCGTTTCGTGTTGATCGATATTAATTTTTTTTGCTGTGTAGGTTGCCTGTAAATTAATGATTTCCATTTCGTGATATATTCCACGTAAAGTTGACCGACAATACAACACCATCCATGGACCTTACTGACTACCGTAACCATTACTATTAAAGTTCTCAAACCATAAGTAAAAAGATTCTAATATACTTTCCTTTCCGAAAATGTATCGAGAAAACAAGAATTGGTAATGGTTTTTAACAACCCATTATTTGTAAGGTTCACTTCAAAAAACCCATAATACATCAGGTTAGAACGTTATCACACAAACGTTCATGTAAAGTTCCATAACCATTTCAGATAAAGTTTAGCAGGGATTATAAACAATTTTTAACCGTTTTCGGTAAGGTCAAGATATGGTTCGCGTTTATGCGGGCAGTCAGCATACAGATACATTCAACGTTTCTAAGTTCTAACTTCTAACACACAAAATGACTTTTGGCGAGATGTAATGCTGATAATCCTAAAGGATTGTTTATTTTTTAGACTCCAAGAGTGAAATAAATAGGCATTTTTGTTTACTGTGCAGATCAACAATTGCCGAAATGCTCATTCCGGCTTCTACGGACTTTACTGTCCGTGATCTTGATGCGGATTTCCAGCACCGGGTACTGCTGTCAGTTTTTGACAACCGTGAAACATCATTTTCTTCTCTCTCCGTTTTGCATCCATTCGTGTGCCGCGACGTTTTGCGGTTCACGGAACGAAGAAAAAAAGCACCGTGCGAAGAAAAAAAAGCAAAAAGACAGCAGCAGCAGCAGCAGCAGCAGCCGAGCCTGAGCCAGTGCAGGCAGCCGCGAACAGTGAAGCAGCCAGCGAGCGAGTTTTGCGTGTGGTGTCAGTAGTGTAGATCCGAGTGCTGAGCAGCAGCAGCAGCAGTGTCAGTGGGGAGAAGAGCAAAGAATATTCAGAAATCCAAAATGGACGAACTCTTTGTGGAAGTATGCGGCGAAAACGGAGCCAACTATAAGGTGAATATTGTGAAAAGTACCGATGAATTTGGGCACTTCCGGTGCGCCGGATAGTGGTTTAGTGAGGAACGATTAAGTGCGACCGTGGGACACTCGATTCGGCCCGAAAAGTGACATTTTGCGGGGCAGTGAAAATTTTTTCTGCAAGAGTTCGCGGAGCGCCCGTCGGACGCCGTGGAGGAAAAAAGAAGAGGCGAGAAAAAAGTGTGCTGCTGCGGTAGTAGCAGCAGAAAAGTGTGTGGTGCCACAGAAAAGAATGAGGAAAATGAACTCTTGTCCGACGGAGCAGTAGCAGGAAGTGTCTGTGTGCGAGTGTGCCGAAGCGGAACATTTTGGGACCTCGTGCCGGACGGTTTCGATCCTACGGGGACCGAGTGGCGGCGGTGGTGGTCGATTCTCGCTGTGCCGTCGTCTCGTCGGCCCATCCTTTTTTTTTCCTGCTTCCCACGAGCTGTCAATAATTTTTTTTTTTCGATCGTCGTCAAGACGTTGTCAAGTGTTTGTTGGTGTGTGCGGTGGTGGTGGTGGCGGCGCGGCGGCGGTGGGGGTACCCGGAGGTGGGGTTGCATGTAGGGAAGAACGACCTGCTACGGTAGGTAGGTGTGTGCCGGGGCACTCCGGAAGAGGAGGGGCGCCGTGCTGCCGAAGAAGGAAAGTCTTCGATAAAGATTCTTGGATTCGTGGGAACTAATCCAAGCGAGAGAGAGAGGATGTCTCGGAAGGCAATTCCGGTGAAAGCGATGGCAGATTTTTAGGGATCTGGGAAAAGTGACGTAGCGCAAATTGTGCAATGGAAAGGCAAAGGTGTAATGTTTTGTCGAGAATGTGTTTTTCTTTGCCTTTGCCGAGAAGAGGGAGTTCTATTTCCAGTAATTTAATATGGGTTGAAATGTCAAGGGTATTCACTTTGTCTGGTGTCCATATGCTTATTTTATTTTTTTTTGCTAATGTTGGAATAGATGTATCATCAATTATAATGGAATTGAGATGATCTGCTTAGCAGGAAATATGAAAAGACTTTGAAAAAAAGAGTATGATAAGGATAAGCCAATATAAATCCACATTCACCTTGAGGCCAAACAAAGTTCGTCAAAGGCGACAACACCTTGCTCTAAATTTATAGGTGAATAATTATTGTTTGGTTCTTAGTTTATCGTTGTTGTTTTTATTCAAAAAATTTGTAGGGGAATTGGGTTTTAAAAGCTTTATAGAGATCACGATTTGCATTTACAAACTAGAAATTGAGGGTTGAGGTAGAATTTGTAATCCATTGTTCTAAACAAAGTGATAGGCATTCCACAAGCATGCCATTAAAACAAATTATTGATGTTCTAATAGCATTGCATTTTAAATCCCTAAAGGATATGCACCTAATATCGGTTAAGCATTCCTGATAATTATTCCGATTTGCCTCATCGTCAATACAGCTTAATTTGATAGCATCTGAAAGAGTTGATCCAAGGGTTCCTCCATGGCATTCACCGGTGATTGTTTTCAAATTTTATATATTTTTGGGTTATTAGCATTTAATGACTTCTTGTTTGCTTTGTGGGAAGGGGTGGATTTCAAGATTTAATCCACAACATGAATCCGAGTCATCACAAATGTTGGATTAGGGCATTGGCGAGGTGTTACAATTGATACTGTGAGTAAACATTGATTATGTGTTGTTTAGATTGGTGAAATATGAACGGTTAACAGAAACGTCTGTTTCCCAATACTGCGGGGCAAAATTCGTTCCAGGCGCTATACATGTTGGAGTTATCTGTGTTTTGCCACTATTGAATTACATAGATTCACACCTGGAGGTTATGCTTTCCGCACCGCAAAGCTCGCGACGTATTATGCCCCTTATAGAGCAAAAATCAATAATGTTTATTTTAACTGTTTTCTAACAAATATTCCCGTTGAGTTTTGGGCCGGAAATGACTCAATTTGTATCAATTAAATACAGTGAACTCTCTACAACTCGATATTGAAGGGAGTTATAGAACAGCAATCCCATAGACAGGGCTGGTAGCGTGTCACTTTTTAGTGACTTGGTCACTTTTTTCAAGCCAGTCACTAAAAAGTCTCCTTTTTTAAGACCAAGTCACTAAAGTCACTTTTTCTTGTAATCAGTCACTATTTTCAACTTTTTTAGCGTGAATTTATTTCAAGATTGATGCTTTGTGACGTTTCTTTGATCGTCTTTCTCTGTCTACAGGGTGTCTACTCGATTTTCTAAATAAAATTACCTGAGTTTTTCTGTTTTTTTTTTCCAGAACTTTAACGGATAAGTTCCAGGCTTGTAAGGGGCTGTCCATAAACTACGTACGGGGTTGACAATTATCCACGGCCCATTTAAATTTAAAAAATTTTGTATGGACAATTGTCTACGCAGGGGGAGGGGGGGTCAAGAATCCCAAAAAGCTGTCTACGTAGTTTATGAACAGGCCCTAATAAGAAAGCTATTTTTTAAATGCGTTAGAAATATGTTTTTTTGGTAGATCGAAAATAACACCAATTAACCCAAACGTTTTTTAGACATGGCAATCAGTTTTATAGAAACAGCTTTACAATGAAATGCATTGAATGTTGAAGTTTAACGCGTACTTAATTTCTCACTTTCAAAAAGTTCAAATAACTTACTTAATTTGAGTAAGTCCAAGATCTAAAAATATTCAATGTCTTGAAGTTTCGTATTCCATGTACAAGTTATAGATATTAAAAATTCTCAAAGTGCCAGAATTATGGAAAAAAGAAGAAGATTTATTTCATGTTTGTAATAAACTTTATGCATGATTAGAGATCTTCATGGCAGTCCCATTAACTTCACAACAATTGTAGGAACTTTTGAGAAGTTCTGATGAATGAAAGGAAATGCTGAGAATTTCAGTGAAGTTCCATAAATTGTGGGAACATAAGGGAAGTTAACTCGCTGAAAATATGGGGAACTTACTGGAAGCCCTAAGAACCTCAAAGCTGTTCTTTTAGAATCCAAAAATTTTCAGGAACTTGTATGAAGTTCCTAGAATGTCAGAGAACTTCACAAGTGTCAAGCGAACCTGAAGAATATAGAAAACTTGAGGGGTATTGGGCAAATTTTTAATAAGTTCTAAGCACATTAGAAAAGCTAGATCTAGAGATCTTTGGGGAATTTCAGAACTTAAGAGCAGTTAACGTAACTTTAGTCCAGACTTTTGGAGCAGTTTAATGATGTATAATTGTAAATTATACAAATTCAGCATAGTTCCATGATGTGCTGAAAAAAAAACGAGAACCCTTAAGATGTTCCGACAATTTCCGGGAAGTACAGAGACCTTCAGAAAATTTATGAAAACTTCAGGAATATGTCAGGAAATTCACAGAAGTCCACAGAATTTCAGGGAAATTTAAAGGTGTTTACGGGAATTCAATTTTTTGCCGATCAGAACCGAGATCTTCAATAGAATTGAGAGCTTTCGGGGGAGCATCGAGCTTATCAAGAAAGATCAGAGAATCAGTTCAAATAATTTAGTTTCGAGAAACTCAGGGAATTTCCGAAAACTTTAGCAAAGCTCCGAGAGAATTTCTGGAACGTTCGGAAAACGTGAGGGTATTTTAAAGGTGAAGAAGAACTTAAAAAATGCAAAAAATTACCTAAGTTGAAAAGAAAACATCAACAAAGTTCCATTAATTAAAGAAAAATTTGAGAACTTTTAGCAAGCAGCGATATCTTCAAGAAATTTCAGAGAACTTCTAATAAATTTAGGTGTTTTTTCATAGTTTCATGATATTCAGTTTCTAGTTTCGAGTACTTCGAGGACGATCAGGTAGCTTCAGATTAATCCCATTAACTTAAGAAAATATGCAGCGACTTACAAGGAGTTCCATAGAATTGTATGATTAATCCAAAAACGTCTGATAAATTCAGGGCAGGCTAGAGAACTTTAAAGAAATTCAGTAATCGTTTAGGCAGTTTTAATAACACCAGGACAGTCTAGGCTATTGAAGAAGTTTTAAATTAGTGTCGATATTTTAATAAATGAGTGAAATTCATAGAACTATATTAATTATCGTTCTAATTCCATGAAAATTGCGGGAGCACAAAAGTTCCAGAAATTTAGAAAAACTTCGAAAACTTTACAGAAGGACAGTGGTCTTCAGAAACATTTCGAGAACTTCTTAGAAATCTATCAAGCTTAAGAAGAGATCCGCACACTTTTTTATGAACATTACCAAAATTCGGGAGCATCCAAAAATTGGAAGAATCTTATTAGTGGGAGATTTAAAGCAGTTCCCAGATTTTCAGATTTTTAGGACCGTTCAATCAAATTCAGCGCAGTACAGCAAGCTGCATGAGAACTGCCAAAACCTTAGAGAATTTTTGAGAATTTCAGAAAAGAACAGAGAACCTCAGAGCAGTTCCGTTAACATTAAAGAAGTCACATAAATTTTAAAGAAGTTTAGAGAACTTCAGCGAATAGTTAAACCTTTAGAGGAGATCCATGATCGTTAGAAAAATTGGGGAAACTTTAGGAATTCCTAAAAAGTTAAGGGAAGTTTGAGAATTTGATGAGAAGTATTGTGAGCATCAGGCTAGTTTCTCAAACTACAAAAGAACTTCAAGGCAGTTTAATTAAATTCAAGAAAAAATTGGGAACTTTCAAGTAATTCTGAGGACCTCTGAATAGTCCATTCCATATTCAACGGAGATTTCCATTGAAATGTTCCTCAAAATTTCGATGAAGCTATTTTTCGATTTTTTTTGTTTTCGTCGAAAGATACATTGAAATTCTCCACAATATGAACCCTTTGGAAAGGTTCTCCAAATATTCATTGAATTCATTTCCGATTTCTTTTTGAATCTTACTCCTTCTCTTGGCATTCTACTTGTATTGAAAGTCTCCTAAGAATTCATTGGCATTTCTCCTCACAAATTCCTTTGATTTCTTCTCATAATTTGTTTGGCAAACTCTTTTTAGTATTTTAATACAAATTCCAAGGATTTATGCTCTGGATTCGTTTTCTACCACAAA